AAAGAAATTTTTTTCTCATTTGTAAATAGTTTTTACGTTGTATAGTATATTTTCAAAAATAAAAGCTGCTAAAGTTTTGCTGACAAAAACCTAAATTGGTACTTATAAAATTTTCTTCTGGGAGGAGGGGAATGAAAACAGAAGTACAAAAAGAGCAAATTGATATTAATCATCATAATTTTTCACATACTTAAAGTTACGATATATGGTATTATCGTTTGTTTATCTATTTTTTAGATAAATACCAAAAACACTGACTTTCTTCGCTTATATTTTTCTGATTTACAGTTATTTACTCGAAAATCAAAAAGAAAAAAAACTAAAAAATTTCAGCATATAAAATGTATTTGAGTGAAGTGAAGTGTAGGAGAAATATTTGTTAACAACAGATTCACCATTTATTGTTTAAAACAAACGAACAATTAGAGATCAAATAATACTTTGTTGCTGTTTTATCTGACAACGATAATGAGAAAAAAAAAAACTTTCAATTTTATATCAACAATAGCAACAATAATAGGGATACCTTAATTACAAGATTTTTACATTTTTATCTGGTTAAAAACTTTCTCCCATATTTGGTATTCTGGTGACAAATAAATGCATTGCAAATGTTTCTTTGCTTTCGATATTTTGCATTTATGTTCAACAGTGATGATATTTTTTTCGAGGCTACAGATCCATAGAATACCAAAACAATATTTTTTTTTCACAGATAAAATGCAGAGCAATCAGAAAAAGAAAATCTTGTAATAAAATGTTGACATTACAGAAGCCATAATTTTGCTGCAAAAATGGTTTTTTAAGAGTAGTAACAAAGAAGAAAAAAATTATTAATTTTGTAATGAAACGATAAACTAAAGCCAACCGCATTTGAGTAAAAAAAAATTTAAACCTGCATAATTTGTTGTATAAAAATTTAGCAAACATAAGTCTAATAATACTTATTTTTAAGGTAGAGTTATCTAGCAGAATAAATGTCTTCGTTTTCATTTTTTCCTTTTCTTTCTCAAAAAAACAAGTTTTTTTCTCAGATATTGAACATCTAAAATTAATTACTGTTTATGCAAGTTGCTTTTTTTATCTGCAATCTACTTCATTTTTCCTTATTCTCTCTTACCTTCGTACCTCACTTTTCTTGTTATAGCATACAAATCGCATTTATTTGCTTTGAATCTTCAAATTAACAATTTCTATCAACTTAAACCGTTCTATAACTCGTCCTGTAACAAACCAGGTAGACGTTCAAGAAATTTGACACAGTAGTTGATCGCTGAACAGGTGGGTTGGACAGAAACAAATATGGTTTACGCCGCTAAAACAATAATCCTTTTTCAACTCAGCGACACTGCATAATACTGAAAACCGAAAAAAAACAAGAAGTCCCAAACATTAGAATCAAAAGTTGTTTAAAAAATAGAAATAGATAAACAAAGTCGGCTACTAAAAAAGCTTGAAAATACTAAATTTTTATTAATTTTTAGACTACTTAGAATACAAAACAAAAGAACCGGCTTATCAAAAGATTTATCTTATGAAATCTAATCAAGTCATATCAATTTTGATAAATAATTTTATTAAACCATATTGATTGGTTAGCTGCCAGTGAATACTTTTTCATCGATAAAAGTATAAAAAATGTTGTTGCAAAAATACGTGAAATGAAAACGAAAGTTTGAACTTTTATTTGTCGAGGTTATAGAGGAAGTTTTTTCGCTGAAGAACTGCGAACGGCTCGGCGATTGACAAATAATACATTGTCACATTCTGATCATATTTTCGGCTATAAACAAAAGGAATAAGATTTGCCTGCAGTTGAAAAGAAATTGCACAAAAAGATAGATGATATACGCATACACATAAACAGATACACGCACATATACAGAAAACGTGGAATGCTTTCTGTAGACAACCAGCCTGATATAATTTAAGATGAAAAAAGTGCTATCTGTCTGTTAGATTATTTACCTGAAAAAACCATTTTATCTGCATAGGCTCTAACCTGTTGCAACACGAACAGTTCTTCATTTTGGCTATCCAAGACTAGACTAGTTTTACAATTAGACACACAAACAACATGAGACAGCAAATATTGTTTGCAAAGAAGCATTGAATAACTTTACCACGATCAGTGATCAGTGACAACAGTCAAAATTTTTGGTTCAAAAGTATTATATAAGTGAATATTAACAGAATTGTTTCAAAGAAGAAGAAAGAAAAAAAGAAGAAGAGAAAAAGTGAAGTGAAGAAAAAAATTTTTGTTTCAGTTTTAATTTGTAAATTTCGATTTTCTTTTTTCAATTTTTTTCTTATTTAATTGACTTGAAATTTTTGAAGACAAAAGATTTGTGGGTGAAAATGATAAAGATCCAAAAGGTTACGTAACGAGGAATAAATTTCTGGACGAGATCCGTTGGAGGCAGCAATGGAAAACGTTCTGGTAACCTAAATCTCAAAAGGTCTCAGTGAAAATTTAGTGATATAAAAATGAAAGTGACTTCAGTGAATTAAAACTTTAGACAATTTGGTTTAGTTCATTGGAGTCATTTCAGCAATTAAAAAAATGTACAAATTTGTTCTTCTTTATTTGATTTTTATTGGTTATGTACAATGCATACCAATTGATAACGGTGTCGAAGGTAATTTCTTCTCGCATTTTTATTTTTTTTAACGTCATTTTTTTTTTTGCTTTTTTACCTTTTTTTTAGAAACAGATCTTTTTTCACCGGTTTTGGAGTAACTTTGTATAACAACGAATACATGTTTTTTTCTAAAGATACCAATAAATGTTAAGACGCAATAAATGTTATCGAATGCTATAATTATTTTTTCATCTTTCTGATACTTTTCTTTTTAATTTTGGTCTGATTTTTATGCTAAATTCTACTAGGCGAACCGGAAGTTGAATGTGGACCAACCTCGATAACTGTCAACTTCAATACTGAAAAGGCATTCCAAGGCCATGTCTATGTCAAAGGTTTATATGATGACGACGCATGTCGTAATGATGAAGTTGGACGTCTAGTTGCTGGGATAACTTTACCGTTTGATACATGTAATGTAGCCCGAACACGATCACTGAATCCGCGCGGCATTTATGTGACTACAACGGTCGTTATATCCTTCCATCCACTGTTTGTCACTAAAGTTGACAGAGCATACAGAATTCAATGCTTCTATCAGGAGGCAGATAAGACAGTTAGCACACAACTTGAAGTATCTGAAATTACAACAGCTTTGGAAGGACTAATTACACAGGTGGTTCCACTGCCAATATGCCGTTATGAAGTAAGTAAAATTTTAAGTTTTTACAATGGTATATTTGTTACTTTATAACTGCATGCAATTTTGAGGCGTTAATCTTTTGGTTTTCTAAGAAAAACAATTATTAGATTCTTGATCGTGGACCAACTGGACAACCAGTTGAATTTGCTGAAGTTGGGCAAGAAGTTTATCACAAATGGACATGCGAATCTGAAACGGTTGATAGCTTCTGCATGGTAGTACACTCATGCTTTGTCGACGATGGAAATGGTGATTCTGTCGAAGTGTTGAATTCGGAAGGCTGTGCTCTTGACAAATTCCTCATTGATAACCTGGATTACCCAACTGATTTGACTGCCGGCCAAGAGACAACAGTATTCAAATTTGCGGACAAAACACAACTGTATTATCAGTGTCAAATTGCGATCACAATCAAAGAACCACACAGTGAATGCCCAAGGCCTCAGTGCCCCGAACCTGTTGCTTTTGGTGCTGTTAAAACGAAAGAAACTCCACAGAAACCATATGCCCAACTTCGCCTTCTCAAGAAACGTTTTGCAGACTTTGAAAATGTTATGGACGTGCGCACTGAAATTAGCACTCTTGACATTAACGATCAGGTTAGCTGATTCTAATATTTCTAATGAACAAACTGAAATGGTAGCTAGTAGAAAAAAGTTTTTGATGAAAACTGAAAGTATTAGTCTCAGGTAGAAGAAATTGCTCTAATAACGAGACAGTATAAAGAATAAAGAGTTAACAAAGTTTTATCATTTAGCCATCAAATTTCTTAGAAAATCTGTAAATTTTGTGTTAGCCAATAAACTGAACGTTTACTTTTCACATCTTTAGAAAAAATAAAATTTTTTAAAAGTATTTTTGAAACGCATATTTTATCAATTTTTAATTTCGTTTGATAAGCGCTTTTAATTTTTAGAAACTTCGTATTATGACTGTCGCTGTTAAAAAAACTGCAAATACTAGTCAATTTTTTTTGTCGCTAATGTTTTTCAAAATTTTAAGATTTTTTATTCGAACAATTTCTACAAACGTTGTACCACGGTTTTTAGTATAAATTCTACGCCTACAAGTTATAAAGCAGAAAAAAAATGATGTTATATTTGCATCCTTAATTGGCCACCTTTTTTTCTGTATAAATGATTAACCTCTTTATTAAAAGAGTACCAAAATACCTTTGTACTGTAACTTCTGCTTTATAATTGTGTAATTTCTAAACACATTTTTTTTGTCATTTAAGTTAGTGATGACAAAGTATTTTGCAAAATTTAACTTTATGCTTGCAAAGAAAAATAATATAAGAGTGACTACAGCACTTCGAATGACTTCTTCAAGAGCAGAAAAAGTACTGTGATTAGTGAGAGCCTTACCAGTACTTAAGGTTCTTCATCTTATAGCTAATACTGCTTTGAATAACTTTGAACATTGGTTATAAGAATAGGAAATTTAACTTTACTGTAGAAAATGCGTGTCACTTGAAGCAGCAAGTGTGGAACGATCTGTACAGACAAATGAACTTCAAAAATTTACTTCTTCATTTGGTTCTTAATAGTGACACTGATTCAATTTTAAATGTTTCTTGCACTTTTCAAATATCGTCTTACCATTGTTGCTGTTTAATGGCCAGCGTTTTACAGAAGATTCCATCTGATCTTCTTCGACGTCGTCAACACTACAACATGGATTCGTATGTTTTACCGTCGGCAACATCGCACAGTGTTTGCGTATCACACTTCGGGCTTTCGTTCATTATTGCACTTCTGTTTGCTGCAATAGTTTTCACAGTGATTATATTTGTTCTGAGAGTTCGTGCTGAACCCAAAGCTTGAGAGTTTGTTGTGCTAAGCATCTATCATGAAACTGATTCGTCATTCTGCAATATCTACTCCAAAATATTTCAGCCTTTCATCTTCTATACCACTTCATTTTTGTCTATCTACACAATTTTTTTTCCCATCAACAAATTACGACTTTTTTTTCCAAAACAGATATGTGGTTATTGATAATTAAAATATTCTTTTTTTTAATTTTTGTTTTTCAAAGCCAACATTTGTCTTAACCACTCTTGTTTATCTTCTGTTTATTTATTTTATACAAAAACAACCTAAATACTTTATTCTGTTTTTAAGGGTTAAAAATTCGTGCAATATTTTGTCATTTATGTATTATTCAATTTAGTGTGCAATAAATATTTTATCTTTACTTTCTGTTTCTCGTTGCTGGTGACATCGATATATAGGAAATAAAACCATTTCTAAAAAAAATAAGTAGATTTTTTGAATCTTTTAAAGTTTTCGCTGTCTAACTACAGCCTATTTAGCATCACCATACAACTGTCAAATAGATTTGTTGTTTTTAAAAAAGCAAATTATTCAAAATTTCTTTGAGCATTAATTATAATCTGAAGCTTCTAATTGGAAGAGAACATTCTTAGTATTTAGGCTCAAATTTCTAGATGGTGGCACTGAAACTTGTAACAAGAGTGAAAACTAATAACTATTTTGCAGTTGAACTGTTTCAAGAAGATGGTGAAGATTGGTCTTTAGTGGATCAGTCTTGCGTCATCAGCTAAAAAATGAAGGTTAAAATCTCTCTGCCATACTTTGGTTTTTATAATTAACTGATCGATGTTCAGAGGAAACCAATGTCTTAACTTCTATTGAACATGCTAACACCAAAACTGTATAAGATACTAGGCAAATTTTTTGTCAAAACACCTAAGAAATAGTTGTTGTTCAGTAATGTTTGAAAAAAATTTTTTTTTTTGCTTCCAAGTGGCTTTTAATAATCACTGTTACTTTATACTGCTTCCCGCTCATATTTTGCATTTATTATATCTTTACCAATATTTGAGTTGTGAAAAGTGCATTCGTTAACTACAATATACTAAAGAGTGATTTCTTGTTTAAAGAAGCTGGTAATGGTATCTAAAGTAAGTTAAGCTCCTAATACATAATAATTGAGAAATTAGTTTTATCGCTTTGCCGCTTCAAATTACCTCTGTGTTGAGTAATTCAATTTGCAAACTCATAAAGTTTATGTCGGCAAAATACAGAAAACACCTAAGAAATAGTCGATGAAAAAAATAAAAAAACCTAAAAAATGCTTGACTGATTTCGCTGATATTTCGTGCAGGAATTTGGCACGGCATTGTCTGAAGCCTCACATAGCCTACATCTAAGTGCTTTTAAAAAGAACATTAAAATTGGGATTTGCCGAACGAAGACCTTAGCTGTCATTTTTCAGTACTAAATTTTAAACAAATCATTAAAAGAAAAAAAATTGAGTCAAGCCATACTAAGCAAACAGTTTTACAAAAGCTAAAAAAAGGAATTTTACCGTCTGCTTCAGCAGAAGTCACAGTCTGGCTTAAGATCTAAGTTTGATAAAAACCTTTTTTTTGTCCTCGCTCATGTTGATTTCAGTTAATATTACATCAACTTCTATCCAAACTTGACTCTTTTTGTATTTAAATTTAAGATTTATACAGCAGTAGTTTTTAATGCAAAAGTGACCAGGTAGTTTAATAAATAATTGAAAAAAAAGAT